GGAGACCACACCATACTTAGCTGCACAGCATCCTGACAGCAAGGGAATGACTGTAGAGTCCTCAGACTTGGGGTCCAGGGGGAATCAGACATTCTGGGCTTGTATCATTTGTCTATTATCCTGTCTTAGTTACATGTAGGCAGCTTCCCTCTTGGTTGTCCGCAGTCACCCCTCGGCTCCCCTGGGCTTTCCCCAGAGGACAGGGCTGGGGGCTGCACAGGGAAACTGGGTTTAGGTCTTCATTTACAGTTAGATTTAAACATTACTTCATTTAGAAATCTCATCAGGGGGTCTGGGGCCTGCAGATGATTATGGAGGGAGGATCATCCTCTCCTGTCTTCCCTAAACCAAGCACATCCTCTATTTTTGTGGGGGTTAAATTCACATTTACAGAAAGATTAAATTCTTGCTTCAAATCTGAATCTGGACTGAAAACAGAGTATGAAGGCTGAGAGCTGTGTCTCTGTTGGCTGCCTTTTCCCCTGAGTCCACAAAAGGCCATGACACCTGCACTACTTAGGGCCTGACAAGGACCCCTCATGTACAGCCCCTTGTCACGCAGCTCTGTCCCCTCTGCCCCAGCTCTCTCAGGTCTCTCTCTGTCCAGCAGCTCCCTCATTTTGGAGTCTCAAAATGACTGAGTGCTCCACCCTCTCTTAGCCTCAAGCCACTGCTCTGATATTTATAAAATAATAATTCAGACTTTCTTAACTTTAGTCATAGCCAGACCAAAATCATTCAAGAGATGATTTTGAGCACTGGCTCAGGGCTCACCTAGATTCTCTCCAAACCCTGAGTTTCTCTTGGAAAGATAAAACACTGTTTCACTGTTAGCCACTTTTCCACAAGTATGTATTGAGCCTCCAGCTGTGAGTCAGGCACCGAGCCAGATGTTAAGTTTAAATATGACAAAAACGGAAGCGGGAGGAGAGGGCAAGATAGAAAAAGGGAGAGATTGATTTTAAAACCTGTGTAATTCCTAGGACAGACCCTGATGCCTCCAGGTCTGTTTATTCAGAAGTGCAGCAGAGGGAGCCAGCAGGGGCCACAGTCCTCCCCTGGACAGAAGTAGCCCTGGAGCCTCACTTCCTGTCAGGCCACAGACACCCCGTGTTCTAAGCTCAGGAGGAAAATCCTGTGGAGCCATCACCTGGGAAGAAGAATGGAAATGTGCTCACTCACATCCTCACACCCTGTGCCAAGCAGAGCCACTAACGCAAGTTCAATATTCACAGTTGTTTTGCCTTTGGTGTTGAAAATAGTCAAAATAGTCAATCCTGAAGTTACTTAATTTTGTTTTTTCATTCCTAGTCCATTATCCAGGTTATTTTATTCATTCATTTGTAGTCTTTTTGTATTCCATCCAGATTTCTCTTATGTTTGTTAATTTTAGTTATTATATTTATAGAATATGTGTAATAGTAATATTGTCCCCATAAGACACAAGTACACAGCAGCAGAAAATGTGTGGGCAGAAAAGTGACACATGTGACACATGTCAATCTTCTCTCTCCCCCTGCCATCGCCTTCCCTCCACTCCTCCCTCCAAATCCCCCTCCCAAGGAACTCTTGTCTGTCCTCCCTGTTTATGGGGTTTGCTTTTTGAGTTTCTCCTGCTTCCTTACAAGGATACTAGCACATTATAGATTCTCCCTTTATTTTGCTGTTTTTTCAGTTCATGAAGATCTTCCTTTGATTTATTTATTTATTATTATTTCTTATGGCATAACTGTGTACATTAATGCAATCATGGGTTACAGTGTGCTGTATTCATATTCATTTTGAAATACTCTCATCAGACTGGTTAACGTAACCTTC